TGTGTGTGTGTGTGTGTGTCGAAAAAATATTAATTTAATTTTATAAAACGTGAAAGACAAGGACAATATTTATTTTCAGACTACCGCTCCTGTCATTCTCTGTCTTTTATAAAGTTTTATAAAATTTTGTTCATTTATTTATTTATTTAATTATTTATTCACGGGATACACTTTTTAATGTAATAGAAAATTGAAATGGAGACAAAGAATAAAAGGCGAAATGATAGAAAACAGAGACAGAACATATAAATAGGTGAATGAATAATGATGCACGTTTTAGAACTGCGATAGAATCGTGAAAAATAGTTTCGTTTACCGAAATACATGATTTACAAGATTAAATTTGCCATATAATGAACAATGTTGTTGTACAAACAGTAAGGATAAAGATCTAATAATTCGAGAAAAAGACGGATTAAAATATCAGGACAAAATATATTATAAACAAACTTAATATCGTAGATAATGGATCGATGATCGAATAATAAAAGATTTAATCAAAATTGAATCGTAATTCGTAGTGTTAAACAGAATGAAATTAAATTTTAAATATTCTCTCCTAAATTAATAATTTTTCGACGTATATGAATTATTATTTTCTTATTTTTATTTTTCTTTTTTAGAAGAGGTTCCGCGGCAAGAGATCTCAACGAAAACAAATAGAAAGTTTTTGCGTGTTTCACTGAATCTTAATTCGACTTTTTCCTTAATTCGATTATGCTTCCACATTTGTTACAGTTATAAATATGTTTGTTTGAAAAAATTGATGAATAAAATAAGGTAGCTGAAGTTCATCGACGTAATAAATGTGAAGTTTCGTAATAGTCGGAACGTTGTATTGAACATGAACAACGTATGCCATTACGGTTGCAATTATACCCCAAAACACTTGCGCTGTCTGTAGTAGTGATTCTCATCACGGCAATTCATTTTGGTTATTTGAATCGCATTGGCTTCAAAGTGTAATAAGAGCATATCCAAGACTGTAAAATAAGTAATAAAACTATGATATTCACTGCGATAGACTGCTCGGAGTCCTGAGATTTTTACACAGGAGTACCATGTATAAAAAAGAACTGTTACGTGATAGTACCAAGAAATATTAATGATTGCTTCCGTAACACGATGAAAAATGTCACCTAATTTTGGTACTTTTGATAGACAAAATAACCATGATGCGCTTGTTTTTATTGTGACTTACTTTCTATTATACCATATTACTTATACATTGTAACTTATATTAAAATATAAATATAAATATAAAGTATAAATATTATTACGTATTTTAATTGCAATATGTTAATTAACATTATAAAATATGATGGATTCTTTTTCGATGTGGTCTCAAACATACTCGATAAAATACTGTTTAAACAGAACATAATAAGAACATAAGAAGATACTTATTTCTTTAAAAGAAAAAATTTGCGATTACTGAAAAATTGCACTCATTAATGAACTTAGTAGATTGAAATCGTTCTAGTATTTGTTGTAATATGTATATTATTGTAATGTACTACCAAAATGTTTGTTGAGGCTTATTTTTTTCAAATGATAGAATACTACGTCTTTATCGGAATATTCGACAAATGGTCGGCAATTTTCAATTTCGGCCGTATCACGATGCCATTTGCCAATAGTGTTCACAATTATTTAATGAAACCTTCATTACTTATGATTATAATGTTAATTATTATTCATGAAATACTACATCAAGTCCCGCAGAAAGTTCTGTCGTTTTCCTCATTGATGAAGAAAAACAATTGTTTAATCGTACAATAATTTTTATTCACCAGAATTATTCATTGTTTTGGAAGAACAGAAGAGTACCTACGATAAAAACAATTGCTTTTGTCACTATATTATGTCATGACTGAAAATTATGTGATTTTAGAACGTTTAAAGAAAGCAGGTGCGACGACTGACTGATATCTACATGTACTTGTTGCATCTTTGTAACTTTTAGCCGCAATATTAACTGCAACGTACTTTTTTTGTGCTTTTGTCTTGAAGATGTGCAAAAAACGAAAATTAAAATCCCAGAAATTATATTTTGAAAAAGTACCGATATTTTACAACTCTTGATTTTCAGATATTGCAATTGTAAATGTGATTCATATTACTTTATGGTATCATATTAAATGTGGTTCATGTAGTTCATAATATTCTATATTTAACTAATCATTAATGTTACTTTAGGTAGGAAAACTGTTATACAAATTACAAATACAAATTCGCAAATATAAATGATAATAAAGAAATTTGCACAATGTCTTTTCTACTTTTCCGACAAAATTGTAGTGAAAATAGAATGCTAATTAATAAAATTTGTTTATAAATACTTTGTTGCAAAATTATAGGCAAATGTATTTTTAAAATATTGCTCCTTGCAAAGATCATCGAAAATTCTTATATTCTCATTTCAAAATGATCACATTTTGCGTTAATGCAAACTTAATGTTGATATTGAAATTTATTAAATACAGTTTGATTTTCTTGACTTTTGTTGCATCTCAGAAATTGAATTATTAATACGTTGAATTAATGTCTCGCATGTACTTACTTCTGTACTATATATCTTCTAGAGTTCTCCGTAAATAGAAATCAAAGAATGTAAAACCAGATACAAAACTTTGAATTTGCTACTACGCATATATTTATACTACGTTTAATATTTGTTTACAATTTTGTATATTTGCAAGCGTTTCATATAACATTTTTTTATCATTTTCACTCACAGCTTATACTTACGTAATTTTAGTGGTAAAATATATTGTATAATTATTGGTATTGTATAATATAAAATGATCAATAAATAGACTACTCTATGATTAAGCTCTCACGTGCCCCTTATCTTTTCAACTTCATTTCTCCCTTGATGTCAAATTGACACAGCAGTTAGAAATTAGAAATCTTATTAAACATTTAAGTTTGCAGATTCTTTTATTATCAATAAATTTATATTTAATTGCATGTATAATTCACATAAATTCTCACGTACAGGTGTTCAATTTCATATCGTAATCATATCTTTTCCAATCTCGTCTAATATTGAAACCCTTTGTTTGATTTGCTATGTTCAGAATTACAAATGCCTATAAATGACTATGTATTTTTGTAAAACTAATGCATTGAATGTAGCAGTGCTTGAATGTATCAAGAATATATGTTACATGTTAGAAAAATAAATATTACAGAACATCACTTCTGTATAAATATTACAGAACATCACTATGTGCTGCAAAATAATGCAACGTTTTACAGGAAAAATCTGACAGATTGATACAAGAGACGAATGAGAGTTAATACCATAAAAAAAGAATATTTGAATCCTATACTTAAATCGAATAATTTTAGTTCTTTGAATGTCAAATATAAGAATGGATAATATTCAATAAAACAAATACAAGAGTATTTTCAAGAGTAAGATATTAAGATGTGATATTACCTATACAAATTCTATACAAATACTATGATAAAATTCATCATTATTTAATATGTTCTAAGTCTCCAATATCGTTCTAAAAGAAAAAAAAAAGAACAATAGATATTGCGAAAACGCCATTCCAAATAGCAAGCAGTTCTTTTAATTTGAACTTTGGTTCATTCGACTTGTAGTAACACCCGTCAAAAATTAGCAGAAGGTAAATAGCAATAGAAAGAGTTTAGATGATTATTCTTCATCCACTTGTGATCATCCCTGTATTCACAATACTTTTCAAAATCACATAAAAGTAGCTAGATTGTGTAATATGTACATGATTCTGTCCATTTTGAAATATCTTATCTTCCTGATAGAAGAAAAACACATAGTTCCTTATCTATTGAAAACAAAATAATTATGATTATATTTGTCGTAAAAAATGGAGTTGCTATTGATAATACCCTATCATCTGATAATCATAAAAGAATTAATTATCCATTCTTTTGTATGAGAATAGCAAAACTAAAACTAATTTTCTTCTCCTTGTGAATGACATCCGATATAAGCAAAAACAAAAAAAAAAAAGAAAACGATCAAAATTGTGGGGTGAGGAAACCTGAGAAATTGCTCATAATCGAAACTTCTTTCTGTGCAACCTAAGAGCAAGACAATCGTCGCCCGCGTGTGGCGACTGTTATAGCGAAGGCCAGGCTTTCGGAATGTTTGTTTTAGCCGCTTAATTGTAAGTTTCAAGACTTGAAATGTCGGGTTTTCAAGACTTAAATGTCAGGGTTGCGTGCTTTTGTGTGTGTGTGCGTGTGTGTGCGCGCGCGCGCGTGTCCAAAGAATGAAGATTCGAGGGTGCATATTCTGAAGAATATCGAAACGTCAGAGAGTACAGATTGAGAGAGTAGCAAGTCGCGCGAGAGTCGCGAATCGTAAAGAAATTATATAGAGAGTAGCTTTAAATGAAATGAAATGAAATGTATGTTAAAGGCAGATTTTTAAATGACAGACCTGGGACCAATAAAAGAAATTTTGGGTATGAAAATTGAAAGAAATAAATTAACAGTGTATTGTGACAATCAGCGCGATTGAATTATTGAAAAATGCCGTTCTCCCCAAGCGTAGCAAACACATTATTAAATTCATAAATATTAAATTCCACTATACACGTGAATTAATGGAAAAGGGTGAAATAAAAGTGAATTACTTAAGGACAGAACATATTAACTATAGCATTGCCAAAAATTAAACATAGAGACTGCGTACGTGTGCTTAATTTAGAATGAATTAATCCGCGAAAAGCATGTCATCGATAGGGGGACTGTTGGAATATATCGATGAATGATGTAAGTTGTGTGAGTGTGATTGTCTCTAATAAACTAAACAAATGAACTCTGACTTCGCGTTTTTCAGTTGATCTCGAGGCGTTGTTCTGAACATACCTATGTATGCATTTCCTATCAATTATATTGGGTTGGTGCATAATTATTGCGCACTTTTTTGCGACTTTTTTGGTCGTTTTGTTTATTTTTTTTTTCACAACAATAAACCTCTCTTTTCAGATAGTGAATATGCGTATCGAAAATCATATCCATATTCGCCATATTATGCTCTACTACTTCGAGAAAGATTGGAATGCAGCCCGGTCATTTCGCTATCTCAACGAACTTTTGGTGAAGGAACAATCAAAAGCCAAGTTGAAAAATGGTTCAAGAAGTTCAAATCGGGCGATACAAACCTCGCAGATGAAAAAGGAAAAGGTCGACCAACAAATTTCGACGACCAGGCACTTTTGGCAACCGTGCAGGAGGACGAAAACTTGACAACAAGAATGTTGGCCGAAGAGTTCAATGTAAACCATTCGACCATCGTTTGTCGTCTCAAAAAGCTCGGAAAAGTATGGAAATTGGCTGGATGGGTCCCCCACGAATTCTGACATTCACTATCTACTTCAATTATTGCTTCCCATTTACTTGGCAGCCGGTCGATTCCACGGGCATAGAAGTTGCTGTTTTTAGAGGCAATCCACTCTTTGACGGCGGCCACCAAGTTATCCAAATAGTCAAGCTATTCTTATTCATTATCGCATATTCTTATTCTATAAATAAACTCAAATAAACTCTGACAATTAAATAAAAAAATATAAAATATATTAATAAAATATTTTTTAAATTAATTCATAAAATAATTCTAATTATTAAATTTATTAAATTTATTAAATGATATAATAATTGGTCATGGTCTTTTTTACTAAAAAAAGGAAAATTTTTTTCATTTTTATTT